ATTTTATTCTAAATATTCCAACTGCTATGAATGAATCACGCCACATACAACTTCCACTCCTGATAGAATATTTTATAGATCAGGACACATATATTTGCCTAATTATTTGTCATATGAGTTTTGTTCATTTGTGTGCATTTACTAGTGTGATAGCCACTGAAACGTTTTTTATGTCATGTGTACAACATGCATGTGGATTGTTCGAAATAGCCAGGTAACATGAATTTTAAAATGTCAGTTAATTTCTAACGTATTTGTAAAGATGTTGCAGTTATATTATTATTTCAGTTATCGCATAGAACGAGCATTGCACAAAGATATGGTACAAGGTATTACATCCTTTACCAAAAGAAATTCAATAATATATCAAGGGATAATCAATGGGTTCAGTATGTACATAAAAGCTATCGAGTATGTAATTGCTATTTGTAATATAATTAGAAACTTTTTGTAATACGCGATTCTTTTTTAACTAATTTAACTTTTTTCAAATTTATAATTTATAACATGTCATACGAGAAATTATATAAGTTATTAACACATAACTAACGACAATTATCATTTATTCTTTATATAAGTATTCATCATCATCAATTCTTTATATAAGTATTCTTTATGCATACTGCTATTTAAGGTTTATTGAAATATTAAAAATATATTGCAAATGGGCATATTCATCGTTATTACCGTTAGGAGTATTGTCGCTGAGTATTAATCTTTATCGCGTGAGTAATTATACTTATATAGATACTAGATAGAATTTATTTATAAAAGCTGAATAATTAACATATTTTAATATTCAAAATACTATCAATATTGTGTGCCTGTTATAATTAAATTCATAAATACAAATTTTACTATTTTTTTTCTCATGAAATTAAGATAATTATTCATATGCTGCAGTTTTCTCAATTAGTGACATCCGAGGAACATTACGAGATGATCATTCGCTTCATGTTTATCGTTGCCCATTTTGGGTACATGTTTTTTTGCAACTATGTAGGACAGGAACTAATCGATCACAGCAGCGATATTTTTTATAAAACGTGAGCAAGTGAATATATTTAATTCTTAATTGATTATAATAATCAGTCAGAGTCTCTTATTATTTATAAGTCTGCTTCTTTTATTTGATTTTTATTAAATGAAAGCAAAACAAAGATCTAAATTGTATTATGCAATCAATTAAGGGTTAAAAAAATGTAAATCTGCGATATTATCTTGGTTTTCATATTAAGTTATGATTTTCTAATGGCGAAATTTTAGGTACAACCTGCGATGGTACGTAATTCCGTTGAAAGCACAGAAGTTATTGTTACTTGTGATGCAAAGAAGTATGCGACATTGCACGGTCGTCATTGGTGGATTGTTTATTATATCATTAGAGGGATTTGCCACGGTATAAATTTTAGCAACAATAATATTTTGTTAAATAGTTTTGCTTTAAATTTAAATACTAAAATAAAACTTATATTTTAGATTGCAAGCATGTCAATATCGTACTTTACAGTATTATTTTCGCTTTTTTGATTATCGTTTTTTGATTCACATATGATGAAAATTAAATTTTAAAATTTCACGATACTAGTAATTCCGATAGTAAACATATATCATACATTCAAGTATAAATATATAATATAAATGTAATTACATTATATTGTCATCGTTACTGGACATAAAATAAACGTAGTATTGTAATGTTTTATTCATTCCTTAACATTTAGATTGCTCTTCTACAAGATATAATATAATTACTACCGTTTTCTATTATATTTACAGTAATATTACGAATATAAGCTTTTGTTATTACATAAAAATTAATTAATGCAGAAATAAAAAGATAAAGATTTTACGACATACGACTTTATAGAAACTTTATAAAATTTTTCACAGTAGATTCCTTGTACAAAATATTTACAGTATATACAATATTTATATATTATATAATTAGATATCGCCAAATGATCTAAAAAGTCCTTGTTGATTGTTACTCACTTGTGTGAGATATTATTGTAATAATTTCTGATTTTTATAAATCTAATTATTTTCCAATGATTTAATGGCACAAATTTAACAGAAATACAAAACTATTATTAAATTCGTTTTTTTTAAGATATAAAATAATTTTTAAACATAGTTATAATTCCTAGTTATATGTTTCAATATAATTAACGTATTGTATCAGTAATTTTGTTAGCTTACTTCAGTTTTGATATAATCCAAAGTCTTTATTATATTCGTAGCAAATGTAATTTTTATCGTGTTTGCCAATAATTACACAATAATCTTTTTAATTCATTTTGAATCAATTTAACACATTAGCACATATTATTTCACATCACAGCTGCGAGCAAAGTATTGCAACATGTCGCATCTTGAATAGAAATGAATGAACATTGAAAACGCGTGAAAAAAAAGTTACAATTGCGCTTGCGTCGATCGATCATGAGAGAGAAATATCAAATATGCTGAAAATAAGATAATTGCATTTATCGTTTGTATCTATAATCATGAATGAACATTATTACATTTATCATGCATGTAATAACGTTCATTCGCGATGATTATAGATACAAACACAAGTCATATATAAAAACCTATTATCTATATAACTTCAATAAGCTATAGTTAAAGTTTCTATGATACTTTTACACGAGATCGGTATTGTGAATATGTGAAAATAGCGAATTAGTTTACGATCTATAATATGCAATCAAACATTCTGAATTTATGTGATAACTTGTGGAAAGAAATTCGACACATTTGCATTATGGCATTTGCACCAAAACAAGATTGTTCTGTAGACAGTTACTACGCTATTAATCGAATTTTATTATTATGTGTCGGTTTATGGCCATATCAAAAATCTAATTGGAAATATATTATAATAACATTTTTGACTATAATATTCATATCGTTCATAGTATTTCAGGTATAATAATCTATTTTATATTTTATACCTTGAATTAATTTTCGTTATTTAATGCAAAGAAATGTAAAGAATTTTAAAAAATATAATATAAAATCATCAATATAAAACACACTAACAAAC